GGACATTACTACTATGACTTTTCTAAGCGTTTCACCAAACAGTTTGCAGATAAATCGGCAAAAAAAAGTCTCTAAAGTGTAGAGAGAGAGAAAAATGTGTTGAAAAATAATTTTTTAAACTGCTCTCAAGGCCACAAATGTCACTGTACAGAAATAATTTATAGATAGAAACGTAGGTAAATCTGTTGGGGTCGCAGTGATAACACTGCTGAAGCTGTCAGACAAATAGTTTTGGGGGGTGATGCACTGATGCGCCAGCAACACCCTTTCACGGCCCCATCTACTCCCATGTACTTTGGAGAGGAGAAATTTTGAAAGGAGCTTGTTGCACCATTTCTTCCTCAAGCTCCCGAGGTCACATTTTTTAACTTTAGCCACTGAAACTTGGCAGTCCTATGGTCAACAAGGTGACGATGCACACGGTCTTTTCGGTTTTTACACACTGGACCTTTAGAGCAACGTTTACAACCTGCAGTAAAGCCATGTTTACGAGTATAACAACTTCAGGTTTGTTTTGCCATGAGATGGATGATTGTGATCCAAGGCACTTTGAACTTGAACCCTTGTCTTTGTTATCAAAAGGATTATTTCCATGAGACTGCAAATGAGGAGACTCAAAATAGTAACATGGATGTTATCGGTTCCCACTTAAATACTTCAGGGACTGTAGTTTCATTGTAATCATGTGTTCTTGGATATTAAACTGTCCAAAAGTCAATCTCAGGACCAGTGATGTGCAGTCGCCCCCCCTCGTGGCCCAATTGTTGAAAAACGCGTGCTAAAGTGCCCTCTTGGTTGGCAAAATACACTCAACTGCCCTCTTCTAAGTTATATTATTAGGTAGAGATGCCTATTGCATTTTTAAGGAGGAGCTACCTCACTATGTCTTGTGGGAATAGCTTTTCAAAGCTAACAAGTAAAGTTAAAAGTTGGGTTAGCATTGCATATCAGGGTTTCCACCAGGTTTAAGTTGACACCCCGCCGGACTAACCATCTGGGATCATTTTTAAAAATGCTTTCTTGAAAATGCCTTTTAAACTTCAGCTTGCAAGTTAGGACAGAAAGTCTTGTTAGTAGGCTAATGCTATTGAGAAGGCTATTTATGTTGGGCCCTTTGTTGATCTATATTGAGCCAGAACTATATCTGACAGAACCAGTTTGGATTATCTGGTGTTAATATGGTGTTAAAATCCACTAGAATACAGGAAATGGCATCTACTTAATTGAAATTGTTTTTTTCCACATAATAATAATAATAAAATAAATAAAATACCAGTTTTAGACCGCACCTGAACTTTTGCAGAGGTGTCTGCCAGTCTGTGGAGTCTGTGGGGAATACTGAGCTGAGTCATATTTGGTCTAAACAATCAAATATAGAAATTATGTGAGATTAAATCAGGGTTAAAAATCACAGGTGTAACATTCACAGAGGTTAATTTAGTTTCACTGTAACCACACCCAGTCTGTCAGGTGATCACAGCTGCTCATAAGACGCTTCTGGTAAATGGCAAACATTTCTGGAAAACAAAGGCTTCACGCTGCCCTGTAGGTGTTATTCATAGGGATATTTATTTATTTATTTATTTTGCAGTATTGATACATATATTGTGATACATTATCTTAGTATGACCTGACAAATCAATGTACTTCATTAAAAATCAATATTGCCATAAAGCAGACATACTAAAAGTAGAGTTTATACAGCATGTACTACAGATACTAAGCTGTGTGGTAGTCATATATGACCATCCCTACTATCCTTTATCATTAAAGACAATAATTACAGACAATATTCTGTTGTCCCTGTTAGGTTAACAAGGTGTCTGCAGATAAATAAGTAAAAGAAAGGAAATTATACTTTCAGAAGACGTTTCTAAAACTGAAGACATTTTCTTAACAAGCACCACAAATGAGTTTGATTTGGGAGTTTCCAGACACTAGACTAGTGTGCTAACGATTCTATGAGGCTGTGTCTAAATGCTAATGTCAGCATGCTAACACAGTAAGTAACTTTATTTATATAAAACCTTTAATACAAAGTGCTTCACAAAGATAAGTAAGTCAAAGGACAGACTTTGGAAACATAAAAACACCCTAAAATAGAAACAAATGAAAATAATAAAAGGTTAAAGTGGGTCTTGTGCTGCTCTTAAATCAGTCTCCTTTAGTTTTAATCCTGGAACAACCAACAGACCCTGATCAGAGGACCTAGAGACCTGCTGGTAGTAAAGGGCTGCAGCAGATATGTTAATGCCTGATCATGCAGAGCTCTATAAGAGCTCACAAAACACCTGAAACTGGATTCTGAGTTTGATGGGAAGCCAGTGAAGAGAAATCAAGATCAGTGTCAGATGAGACCTTTTGGAGCGCCTGGTTAAAAGCTTAGCAGCAGCAGTTTGGTCCAGGGATGCTTCACCGAGGGAGGTGAAGAGGGAGTTACAATAGCATGAATTATAATTTCCATCTCAATGGGCCTGAATTTTGTTGAAGTTTCTCAGTTGGAAAAAACAGAAATCAACCAAACATCTGACATGTTGGTGCAGAGTCTGAGCCCGGTCCATAGTGATGCCTATATTTTAAATTAGGGAGGATTTAACAGCAGAAGAAAGAGAACAAAGGCCTCAGGGACAAGACTGGGTGGAGCAGAAGATCCTCTCTTTTATTATCAGCCATCCAGTCTTTTTTATAGAGTTTAGGCAGTTATTTAAAACAGATCATTTTGAGGCTGGTAGGAATGTTATTACTTTGCCAGTAATTGGCCATAAAATCAATATTTGGCCCGTGGTGGACTGGAAAGCAGATTGGTAAAGAGGCACCTGCCATAATAAATATTTACAAGACAACAGATAAACAGAGAGTTGCTGATAAATGAGTAGTAGGAAACATATGACATCATGGTCATTGGTGGAAGTTTTTCATGAACACATTTTTTTTTTTCTTGAAATGGAAAAAAGTGGGTCAAACATCAGTAACTTGTATCTCAGGGGAGTGAAGAAGAACCAGCCAGATGTTCCTCTAAAAGCAGAGAAAAATAACCAAATCTGGCAGATTGATTTTGTTAATATGGATGATTTGCTAATCACTATATGAAAGGGTAATTCCACATTAAGGCTGTCTATATAAGGAGTGAAAGTGTCTGTTTACAGGTGCCAGGTATCCTTTTTCTTTTTTTTTGGTTTGTTGCCAGGTTACAACACCCACGGGAGTCCCCGAACCAATAGGGACTCCCCATCTTACCATAATAGAACTCTGCAAACCACAAAGCAGCATAACACCAAATACAACTGTGACAAACATCAAACAAGTGTTGAAAGCGAAACCAGCGTTGAAAACGTCTGTTTTTATGGTTTTCATAAACCCCGTCGTCTTTTTTTCCACTGGTCACATTGAGCACCATATAAGGAATCTTCCCTCCATTAGTATCGTCTTCGGGAGCAGATGTGTCATTTATTACAACATTGTTTGTGTGGATGACAGTACCATCATCTCTAACAAGGACGATTAACACAATATATTAAAGTATATCTGATTCTGATCAGAGAAAAAACAGTATTTTCACAGTTTTTTGGAATCATAACACATTTAACTTATTGTGGAGGTATAGAAATATATAGTATAATATAGTATAGTATAGTATAGTATAGTATAGTAGTATATAGTTTATTTCTGGACTCAAATTGTACCTTGATTGATTTTAAAAACAAAGTAGGCTCCATAATTCAAATAAAGCCATAAATCTCTCAGTGTATTAAATGGTGACTTTACTCATTTTCAGCCTTTTGGCTCCATCTATTGGACAAACACAGACATATAAGATATCCTGGTTCTACAGTAAGTCTAATTCAGTTGATTAAAAGTACCAGTTGTAGTCAGTTATATTACTACTCATAATATTATGTGATTACTATTGTTGTTGTTGTGTTAACATATAAACAACATTTTAATGTTAATGGGGTAGATGTCTTTTTGAGGATTTTAATGTGGATATTCATATTTGTATATGTCATAATATTTGTCTGGAGGGGATCTTTCTGTGGCTGTAGGTTGTGTGTGTAAAATTTTAATCTGTAAAGTAACTGATAACTAAACATTTTAACATTTTAGTGTAGTAAAAAAGTACAATATTTCCCTCTGAAATCAAGTATAACTACAAAGCAGCATAAAATGGAAACACTCAAGTACGAGTTAATGTACTCCTGTAATGAGCTACTATTATGTTTCCAGCTGATCTGCTTTGCCAGGTTTTGATATAAATGGGCATATTGACTAGTATTTTATTAACGATGTGGTATTAATACTTTGTGCTTACATTCTTAGTGTATTATATAACATTGTATTAAGATTTACACAATTGGTTGCTTGAATGTTGTGTTATTGCTTCATGCTGCTATTTAAGCCTGATGAGTGCAAAAATGTGGTTAACAGCTTCTGATTTATGCTCCGCTGTTTCGTGTTACTTTGCACGTCTACAAATAAAGACTAGTGGATGTCACTGACATATTATTGCATCAGTGCTTTGCTGCTTCCTGTTGCTCTGATTTTAGCCTGCTGATATTTTTTTTTATCTTTTCAGTTTCTTAATGTTTGTTACTGTTACTTCACTGGCTTTATATCATCTCGCCAAGAGACCGCAGTTGAAGATCAGCTGAGGTTCAATTCAGCTACAGCCAGAGGATGGTTAGCTTAGCTTGGCATTATGACTGGATACAGACAAGGCACACCCAACCAAGGGCACATAACCCTCTATTAAAACCAAAACATGTTTAAGAGGATGTTAATTAATGAGTTTTCTGTTTCTGGTAGGTTGATTTTCTTACCGTTGGACAGAACCAGGCTAGCTGTTTCTCCCAGTTTCCAGTCTCTGTGCCGAGCTAAGCTAACCAGCTTCTAGCTCCAGCTTCATATTTATCACACAGACGTGAGAGTGGATGGTTCTCCTCTAAATCTCAGCAAAGCAAATGATTTAATAATTATTGGAGAACAGATGAGCAAAAACAAAGTTTAAGAAAAAAAGGGCTTTTATTTTTTATGATTTCCTGTACAAGGGCCTTGTACCACATCTGGTCGGGGAGTATTTATACTGACGGAGCCTTTTCTCATAATTCTTTAAATGTCTCTTCTGTATGGAACTTAAATGCAAGGGTAAATAAATAAGCGTTACTCCAACGTGACCTCATCATTTGTGTCCCTTTGTGTCGCTCCCAGATGGAAATACAAGTTGAAAAGTTCTCCCGAGTGTACAATCAGTACTGACAATGTTTCAGGAAACTTGGTGACTCCCCTCCCCCATCTGGAGAAGCCCGACAGTTCAACCTATTTCATTTTTCAGTTTGAAGATCTGCCTCCGGTCCCACTCAGAGGGCTCAGGTGGTCACTTCTTCTCTATGACATGTGGCTCTATGAGCTTTTGGACTTGCAGCTCCTCCACCAGCTTGTCCACACAGGCCTCAAACAGAGGCTCGGGCTCCTGAACGACGAGAACAAAACAGGAGTAAGAACAGGCTGAACACAGTGTTATCGTAACAAAGCAACATTTTATTTTCACATCTCTTATAGGGGTCTAAGACTTAAATCTATTTATCTGGTTCCTAATGCATATATTCTCATTGAAAACAGAAGATATTTGCATTACAGCAGCATTAGCTCAACCTCTTTGATTCTAGCTCTTGTGAGGTAAAACAACTTGTTGTATTGTGTTTGAGGACTTTATTACCTTGTGCTCCAGCTGCCTCTGTTTCTCCACAGCCTCCTCCAGACTCAGACCCACCCACTCTGCCTCCTCCTCCGGGATCTCAAAATGCTGCTGACACAGCGGGAAGCAGAAACAGAAACACATCAGTTCTCTTTTCATCACAACTTCTTCTCTTGAGATCTAGAAATCTCTCCATTCCCAACACATTTGGGATAACTCAGTAGACTTAAACACATCCCACCAACCTTGTATTTGTTGTAGATCTTCTCCCTCTTGACAGGGTCGTTGGGGTAAAGCTCGGTGTCTTTACGCGCCAGGCGAAGCAACATGGCTCTCTTCAGGTCCATGCCCAGCTTGGAGTTCAAGTCTTCCTTTGATGTCTGTTAGGAGTTGGATAGTTACAGTCATATAAAAAGCCTCATGTAAAATGTTATTTTGTCACACACGGATGTGCCTTTCTCTTACTTTAAGAATATAAAAATCGAATCCGAAGACGGCATCGATCAAGTCCAGAGTGCGCATTGTGACGGTGATGGGGAACGTGTGGTCAAGGATCTCGCTGTACAGCTCTCTCTGTAACAACTGCGGCTTCCAGGTCTTCTTCAAACGAGTCGACAGCTACGATTTCAGAAATGAATTAAAACATGAGACAGATAAACTCTGCTCTAAGTACAGAACAGGTTGGTAAAATGCCACACAATACCATCTCTAAATAACACAAAGTGGAGTTCAGTGAAAAAGATCAATACCAACTTAATGTGATATTCTGGTTGGCAATATTGTATCAACATGTGGGCGTCAATATCTTTCAATAAATACCTTAAATATGCAATGTGAAGACCACACTTTAGTCTACATATCGGCATCCAGTGAGGCTGAATTGTGTAAACCTTAATACAGATGCACTCAATGTTTAGTGTACTGAAAACCTAATATACTGCGTCATGTGTTTTACTGATAAACTCTTAATGAATAATTACATTATATTAATTGATATATATTTTTTATATTTTTTTTATGTTATTTAAATATAGAGTTAGAGAACATCAAAACATGTTTAAATTGCATAAAATCATCAAAGTACAGAGGACATTTAAAATATTTAAACACCACAATATTGTATTATATTATGGTATTATAGCATAAACAGTTGCTTATTTGACTGCAAACATATAACATATAACCTATAACCAGTGGTGGAAGAAGTATTCAGATTCTTTACTTGACTAAAAATACTAATACCACACTGTGAAAATACTGCACTAAAAGTTAATACTTCAAAAGTAAAAGTATGCAAGTATTATCAGCTAAATGTATTGTAAAGTAGTTTGAATTCCCGCTGAGCCCAAGTTAGATTGTTATGACAGTTCTGCTTTATTTAAGGATTTACTGTGAAGAGGTGACATGCAAATAAAGGCCGAGCAAGGTATGAATCTACGACAGCTAAAAGCTTTGACTGTGTGCATTACGGTATAATCATGTCAAGTCAACACACCGTAGTGTAACTAAATAAAGAAAATGATCTTCCTGGACACTCACCTTGTCATTGTTGGTGTATCTGTAGCCAGATACCCAGCCCTCTCCTCCCCACAGGCCGTCCTGGGATTGTGGAGGGTAGTAAACTGGGATCGGGACATCCTGCACCCGTTCCTTAACCCCCGTCTTTGGGTTGGCTCGGTACTGGACTCCCAGAGGCCTCCAATGCACAGGGGTGGGCTCTTTCTGCTCGAGGGACTTCAGGTAGTGTTTGGGGAGACGAGAGTAGATCCCCTGCTTCATTTTCAGGGCATCCCAGACTTTGGGAGGGTACTTAAGAAAAGGCATGATGGACTGAATCTGAAATCTGGAAGACAGAATAAAGAAAAAGGTCAGGATGAAACAAACATCAACAACAACATGAACAACAAAACTCACCGCTGAACTGATTTAAAACATCTCATCTCTTTCACTTTTTATCCACATGCAGGAAATGTTTAAATAACCAAATATTAAGTCCAGAGATCGGAGACGTTTCTGTACTTAGTTTTGCATGTTGCATTATTAAGGTGGTGCATATTCTTTCATACACTAGAGATTTGTACTGAAATGATTAACCAAGTTTGTTGACAGAAAATAATCTGTTTACTAGTTCAAAAATAAGTTGTTTTACTTATTTATCAAGCGAGCTTCATGATTACATCTTTACAAATGTTAAAAGTCTTCTGATTTTCTCACTTTCATTCATTAAACATTTTTGCCTCCCTCAGATGAGAGAAGGTGGAAACAGTGAGTGTTTGGCATTTTACTTTATAAATGACTAAAAATGATAAATCAATCAATAATAATCTTGCTGATTGATAACAACCAGATAAACCTGCTAACAAACTAACAATCCCCTGGCTATTTTACCCAAAGTCCCAGACCCCAACCAGTGTTTCTACTCAGGGAGAGTACATATAGAGTATAATAGACAGTAGTCTGCTGCAGGTTTGCTCAAAGATGATATAAAATGGTTAAATGAGAGAAAAGTTGTGAGGTTACTTTCAATCTAAATCAAGATTAGGAGTTTCTGCCTCATTCTTCTATTTTAATCAATAAAGATTTAAAAGAAACTCGAAGCACAAGTGAATAACTTTCATAACGTGACAACCCACGTTAGCCACTACAGCTACAAGGCCAACAACATCGACTCATTTGACGATACACGGCCTCTACGAGTCCAATATACTGCTAACAAACACCTGTAATAGTCTGTCTTACCGGGTACTAAGGAAACAGTGACCTCCGACGAACACAGGGTGAGTTTTCAATCTACTTTATCCCAAAATCAAGCACGCAAGGACATCCCGCATCCCTCCGCTGTCCGAGTGGATTTCCGCATTGATCGGCCCGCCTACACGGACGAGGATTATGATTGGATAGCGGACCGGACATTCTCGCAGATGATTGGCTGTCACAGGTTGTCAATCTGGGAGGTTTCCGGCCAAAGCGGATGTAGAATCACACTGGTTATCGATTTATTATTTATTTACAGTATCGGATATTTAAATATTTAAAGTTTTTGTATAGTTTATTTGATGTGTTATTTATTATAATGACTGCTATGTTTGTACCAATAAAGAAAACAACTGAATAAAGAGAGTAATCACAGTAAGTTTTGTTTAAAAAAAGAGTTATAAATTACATCCTTTGTTATTTTAGCTCCATTAATTCATTGATTTTTAACTAGAGAATATATAGAAATATGACAAAACATCAATCGCTCCTTTTAAAATAAAGATATAAATACAAAACAGGCTTTATTATACATATACACGTTTTTTGTCAAATGTCATATTTGTCATGTCAGTTTGTGAAGAAAAACAAAAACGATTTATTATATAACTATTTATTAATAAATCCTAAGGACTCGTTTTTTTGAGTGGCCACTTTTGTGTTATGTTATTATATTAGGTTAAATTATAATGGATGCATTATGTGAGCAGCATTTTAGGGTTGTACCCTACACTGCCAATGGTTGTAACGTTAGTTGGATGAGGCGTAGCTGAATTTAACAAATGTTTAATCTCTAATATTGTATATATAAACTGATCATGTGTTGTATATAAAATCTGTAAAGCAATGGTAATTATGGTGGAGCACAAAATGGAAACACATGTACCTCAAAAATAATACTTGAGTAATTACGTTTGGATGAATAAAAATTGTAAAGGAAAAAAAAAACAAAAACAAAAAGTAATTTTTCTTTTTTTTAAAAAATAATTTTGACTTTTATTGTGAAGTGCTAGAAACAGCACTTGACAGGAAGTAGGCTCGTGACGTAGCCAGGAGCTGTTAACGGTTGTAAAAGAGAAGAAAAATAAAATAAAATCAGTTGTACGTGTTTAAAATATCACCTGATTAAGTTCAATACATTATCAATAAATTATCAATAAATTAACAAGAGGAAGAATAAGAAGTGATCGACATTTCGCCCGAAAGGTGGAATTGAACCACTCTGCCGCTAAGCAGCTACAGGTTTGAAGCCTGCACCCCGGACCACCGAGGCTCATCCGGGCACTTTCACTATAGCAACCAGACGTATTTAAACCTCATAGCAACGACAGCCTTCTCGGTCATGGTGCCACCACAATGGCTGCTGTTGGTGTTCATCAGAAAGAGCTCGTAAACATTAAGTTCAACCACTGATTTGATGCCACGCAGCATATTCATGTGGAATAAACGCAGAGAAAAAACAAAGGGGGTGGGGGGTAGGGGGGTAGGGGGGGCAGTTTGCGGTGTGTGCGGTGATATGCAAAGCAGACGCATTCTGATTGGCTGACTGAACACAACACAGGTGCAGCCGCAACTCGTCATCACAGGTAAGAGGTATGATCGGGATTATTTAATTAAAACACAAATATTAATCAGTGTTTGGACGGAGGGTGTTAATACTGGCTGCAGCCAATTTATGTGTGTCAGTTATTGTGCATGCAGAGCCGCCATTTTTGTTTTTTAGTTAAACACCTGTGCTTTTGTTGCAATGATTTTATTTTTATTTGTGTTCTGTTTTATACGCTTTAGTTTCTATTTATAGTCGGCAGATACAGAAGTAGGCTATTCAAATTATTTTTTGACTCATGTGCTTTTGCCTGCTTGGTTTTATTGTTTTTGTCATTTGTTTATTGTTTTGTTTGTGATTTTGCTCATGGACTAATAGCATACTATACAATTACTCCATTACTAGTAAGAGTCCTGGATTCAAAACTATACTAAAACACAGAGGTATTAGCAACAAATGTACTTAAAGTATTAAAAGTACTAATTGTGCAGAATGGCCACTGTGAATGTTAGGCTGTATTATTGGATAATTATTATTTGTTTATTAATGTGTAAGTTGTACTTTAATGTTGTTGTTGGTTAATTCATACTTCATTCATACACTGTTGGGTAGTTTTTCTATAACAATGCATCATATCGACCACAACTTACCACACTTTTTGTATGTAAAATCTTAATCTGTACCTTGTCAGATAAATGTAGGAGTGTAGTAAAATTAAAATACTCTTTGTTATTTTACACCAGTGGCTGTACAGTAACAGTACGTTCAATGAATACACTATTAAATTACTTATGTATATAGATTTGTTCTTGTTCTTCTTGGACCCTTCATTTTATCTGTGTGGGTTCAATACATTTCATATGATCTTAGAATGAAGACACAAACTTTAGTATTGTTATTTGTTTTATTTTAATACATACATGAGAGAATAAAGAGGTTCCAGGTACAAATGAAGGAAGAGAAAAAAGTCTCCATTTTCACTAAATTTCACTTGACTTTACATAAAAATCTTTGGTGCAGCACCGTGTTAATGTCACATAACTAACAGAACATTTACATATAACGTGCAGGCAGAGCTTTAGAGACATTACATCCATCATCCATCCAACATGGCTGTCAGATCATTCATTTATTTTCCTCCAGGAAGGGGTTCTCTATGACCAGCGTTTGAGGCTCTTTCTTTGTTTGCCCAGCTGGTGGCGCCAGCGGCCTCCTGGGCTCCACTTCCAACGGAGAGCAGCACATATTCCCAGCGCAGGCCTTTCCACAGGCGAGGCTGCAGGCCAGGAGGGGAGGCGGGGAGGGGTCGCCCCCACCGCCTACAGAGGACCCAGAGCAAGAAGCGAACTCTGGCTGAACGGTGCAGCAGTTCACTCCTACGCTCTGCAGCACCTTAGTGACATCTGACATCAAATCAGCACACCTGGACATATGTGGAATGATTCAGCATTAATAAAATATATAGTTTTTAATCTGGACAAAAACATATTTATGATAACCAGACAGTAGCATCTAAAAAATGAATGTATGATTATCTGTCTCTATGTGTAATCCCATTAAGAGTCACCTGTCCAAGCTGATGAGGGATGGATGATACTTTTGTTGTCTCATCCCAACATGAAATAAAACTATGTAAACCAATCACTGTCAATTTTTCTGACTGATACTCACTACAAATAACCCCTAACGCCATGAGCTCTAGGTAACATTAAGCCCCACAGTTTAACTATATACTCTATTTCAGACCTGCAAACAAACACATACTATAAGTGTCCGGTTACTAAAAATTAATCCACATCTTCCAGTCGACATTTAGAACCACCAGTACTAAAATCTAACTTTTCCACTTCACCTGTGTGCTGGAAATCCAGCATGGCAGTGTACATGGACAGAGGCCACGATGAGTGATTCAGTTAACTGCCAGACATGGAGGTCGTGCACAGCCTGCACCCCGGGGATGCTCACAATCCTCTGTCCAAGATCGGACACACAGATGTGTGGAGGTGAGGCCTGTAGCAGCAGCAGTCCATACCTGTGCACCTGGAGAGATTTACCAGTGAAACAACAGTCAGTGCAGGATTGGATACAGCTGCACCTGTTTACATTTGAACTCTGACTTTGGTCTTGACATAAACACATAAAGCCTGACCTGTGGCCTGGCTGTGGCAATCAGCACAACCACAGCCAACAGGGAGAGGCCAGGATCCAGGTAAACCAGGAGGCTACAGGCCCCAGAGCTGTGCAGGCACTGTGGGTCGATCAGCAACATCACCAGGCTGTTGATGAGAGCCAGGAGGGAGGTACACAGGTTCTGAATGACAAGGAGGAACGACAGGAGACAGAGTGGCCACTGGCTGGTTGGCCTCTCAGTGGGATGAGATGACTGGCAGACTGGGGAGGTATTAGACGTGTTGTGACTCTCTGAAGGGGGAGAAAACATTTACATTTTTAAATGTATGGTCAGAGCTACAGTACATCTGCTTTTGGGCCATTAAGAGAAGAGAAAAAAACCTCACATTTTCCTTAAAGTGACGGTTTTTGACGACCTGGGAATTAGACTCAACAATCAACTTTCTTGGCTATTTCTCGGATTCTTGGAAAAGTTATGAGTACTAGGAGAAGGCCGAGATTCACAGATTACCTCTCTCATGTAGTTCTGTCAGGATATAATGAAAGTTATATTTTATAAAAGTTACTAACTGCAGCTTTAATAATGTGTGACTATCACCATGCTTTCAGGAAACAGGTTGAGGTTCAGTCAGTCTTATTTTAAAAGATTATATCTTTAGTATTCTGCTTTATTTGTGGTATTGACGGAAGGAGAGAGACAGGAAAGGAAGGGGAGAGACGGGGGAGTAACATGCAGCAAAGGGCCTTGGGCTGGGATCAAAAAAGCCGCTACAGTGAGGACTTGATATATTGAATTGAAATCAGTATCACAATTAGAATATATTTTTGTTATTGATATTATCACAAAACCAACTCTTTAAATATGTAAAATATATTTTTTTTCATGAAGGTCTTTTTCTAACGGACACCAAGGTGATGGAGGAGTCCAAGGAGCTAAACTCTCTCACCAAGATGTCCCACGCAGGTGTTGTCTTTAGAAATCTCTGCGATGTCCTCTGAATGACTCAGATCTGCAGCTCTGGGCGCTACTTCACAGTCCCTGCTGTCCTGTTGAGCTGCTGCATGCAGGTGGACTACTGCCTGTGGTTCAGGGGTTTGAGAGTCAGCGTCAGGGATGCTGGAGGTTCCCGGGTTACACAGGACAAACGCCCCATTGTGGAGCGAGTCGTCCACAGCAGATTGGACTCTGCTAACGTCATACAGGACTCGCCCCGGCTCGGCCTGGGCTTTGGTTTCCTCCTCAGCCAAGACTGTGGGAGTCAAACAGAGAAATGAAAAACAAACATGGACACTTATTGATGTTCCTTACAGCTGAATATACACTTGGCAGCTACTTCAAAGGGAAATCTGTCGGAGCAATATCATCACCTAAATTCTTCTGTAATAGAATATTCTTGTTACATAACGGCAGTATGAGTACATGCTGCACGCAT